GGTGGGAATTACAGGTATTCCAGAGTATTGATTCCTCAGCCTTTGGGGAATCTGGGAAATGGCCCCAGGTTAGTGAACTCTACCTGTGAGCTACCTCAAACTTCTACGTAAACCTCCCCATAGCCACAAATAGAAACCTGCAATGTGGGAAAGATGGGTGAGCTCTAGTGACCCATCTAGATCTTGGATTCATCATCTTTAGGTGAATACAATAAAGATTTCAGTAACATAACCATTTTGAGGGTTATGACGATATATGCAAAGTGCTTAATGGAGCTTATACACAGCATTATGGCCAGTAATATTCACTTTTATGATTGTTATTACCACGCTAGCCTGATGAGATGAGAGGCTTTCTTAATGCAGAAGACCTGATCAGGATTCCAATTCTGAAGCCCCAAGTCTACCCCTAGCAAAAAGACTCAGGAGGCAGGCTTCCTGTATGTGTGTCTGCAGTTGGACCAAAGGGAGCACACTTTCACCCTTGAAGGTATCTAACCCAAGGAATTATCTTTCCTACAGGGATAGTCCCCTTCTATAAGAGAAAATGGTCTGGGCCCCAAAGCAAAGTGATAGCCAGACATACAGAGCAGCAAGGCACGGAACTACCAAATGGCCATGGGATAAACAGCTGGGAAGGAAAGCCAGTGATTAAGAGTTAATGCCAACATCAGGGGCCTGAACTATGTCACCTGGGTCTGACTGGCTGACCACAGCAGCTCAACTGCTTTGAAGGTGCCAGTTTATCGGCTTCGCACATGGGCCACTCCTTCTATCACCTGTGTCCAGGGACTGGCCCTAAGGGGTCACAGCCACCCAGCGGGATCAGAGAGCTTCCAGCATATTCCATTGCACTATGCAGGAAATAAGGGAGCATTGGACAGAGCTTCGTTAAATGGCTACATGCGAGTGGGACTGAAGGAAGGGAGCAACAGTGGAGAAAGGGATGAGTGTAGAGCAGACAGAAAGGAAGGGCAGATTTTCACAGCAGCAAATAGGACGTGGGTACCTGTAAGTCATAGAGACTGATGAAAGGCTACCTAGGGCATGGGGATGGCGGCTTCTAAATACTGAGACAAACGCCACAAAGTAAAGGGTGGCATTTGCACGAAGAAGAGGAAATGGCGGGAGACTGAATGGGCCCTCCGTCTGCTCTCGTCCTAGCTACAGCCCTGGCTGTGCTACGGAGAACACATGGCACATCGTGGCACGCTGTGATGAGCCACAACTGGCCATCTTCACAGATCCGGTCAAAAAGTTCCTTCCAAAGTAACTAAACAGGGGCTGGAGAGATGGCTCAGTGGTTAAGAGCACTGACTGCTCTTCCAGAGGTCCTGAGTTCAATTCCCAGCAACCACATGGATGGTTCATAGCCATCTATATGAGACCTGGTGCCCCCTTCTGGCTTGTGGGCACACATGGAAGGAATGCTGTACACATAATAAATAAAATTTTAAAAAAAGTAACTAAACATAGATTCACAACTTAAACTTAAATGTATATATTGTGAGGGAACTCCTTCAGAGGACACATGGACTATTAAAGTCAAATCGAAAGTCTTTGTAGCTGGCCAGTGGCTACATGCAGAGCTCACCCAAATCGTGCAGCCCCGAGGCTTATAACACAAAACTCACATCCTGGGTTGGCACACTTCGGGTAGCAAAGACAGCAAGAAGCAGAGCTACTGAAGCCAAAAAGCAAGTAGAGTACATTTAGGGACCTCCCCAGCACACCCTGTTTGGGCAGGTGGATTGGGTCTGTCTTTGCTCCTGTTTTGCCAGGCATTGCTGTCTATGAGCTGGGTTCCAAGGCCTGAGGGTTTCTACCAAGGTGTCTGTCAGCTGTGCTGAGGTCCAGGGACCTGTAACCTTCATGCACATGCAAAAATCTGTCCTAAAGCTATTCACTCTTTCTGTTTTAGAATACATTCACTGAAAAACATTGACCATATTCATATATCTTGAGACATGGATTTTAAATTGGTCCAGTTTATAACTGGTTATTTTATGTATATATGTGAGAACATGTGTGTAGGCATTTGTGTATGTACAAGTGCACATCTGTGTGTTTGTGTGTGTATAGTGCACATCTGTGTGTTTGTGTGTGTATAGTGCACATCTGTATGTTTGTGTATGTACAGTGCACATCTGTGTGTTTGTGTGTGTGTGTACAGTGCACATCTGTGTGTTTGTGTGTGTACAGTGCACATCTGCACATGTCCATAGAGGTCACAGGGCAACTCCAGTAGCATTTCCAGGCTCCATCTATCTTTTTTTTAATTTTCCTTTTGAGATTGGTACTCTCACTGATCTGGAACTCAGCAGGCAAGGCTGGCTGGCCAGTGAGTTCCAGGAATCCTCTTGTCTCCACCTCCCCACTAATGGGACTATAAGTACAAACTACCATGTCCAATAGTGAGCGTAGCTTGAGCCATGATTACTAACCATAGCACAAGCTAACCACAAGAAAAGCTTTAACGCATCAAGTGAAGGAAACTATACCTCCAGTAAGCTCCGAAATATTTTCACAGATGGCGATTTCAAGAAAAAAGAATAAACAGGCTATTCATGCACTTAGTGATCCAATTATTAAACTCGACCTGGTTTGGGGATCAATTCTCTATTAGGGTAGCTTGCTTTCTTATTTAAATATAGATACATTGGTACCATGGCTTGGGGGACTTTTTACTGTCAGGTTTAATAACCGATGGTGTCAGGCTCTCTCTGACTGATGGTACTACCCGCCCCTGAACTGATTTGGCAGAAAAATCATAAGTCTCTTCTTTGACACGAAGAAACAGAGGCAACCCAGACAAATTGCTTTTCTTCCAGACACATTTGTAAAAATTGCCTGGGTTTCGGTGACAGGCAACGGGGTGACCAAGGTTGCTCAGGTAAGAGATGGTGGTGGTGAGGTGGGAGGGAGCTGTAGCCGGATGCATCACGCCCTGAAAGAAAACCCACAATTTTCTTGGCTACCTAATAGCATTGGGAAGAGGGCATGATGACAAGTTCGCTAAGTCTAGCCCCTCCAATTTGAGGCTAGAAAAGTATTTCTTGGGACCCAGAAACCTGCCGCTCAAAAGAGCCAACTGCGATGGAGACAGTCCATCACATGACATGAAGAAAATAGATGATTCCAACACGGATCGTACTATTTCCCTCGATAGCTAGGTAACTTCTCCTCATGTCCCAGTACCAGGTACATTTCAAAAGGACTAGTCACCTGGTAATATATGCAGTCCGTCTTAGCCCCACCGGAAATGTACCAAAGAAACAGATGTTCCATGAAAACTAAAAGACAGGTGATATCCATGCAGCAAAATGCTGTATTTGGTGAGGACATTCTCAAAGACATGCCTGTGGTTCAGTGACGAATCACTAGTGTGGTCCAGCGCTGACTCCCTCTTGTGGCTGGGGCTTGGAGGATAATGAACAGGAAGCAGGAACTGGATAGCGAGGTGAAAAATCACTGGATCATCCATCAGCCCATCCCACCACCCAAGTGCAGCCCTGCAGGTCCTAAGACTGAAGAGCTAGAAATTCCTTCATTAACCATTTGCATTCATGGACTCAGTGAGTAAAGGCACGTGCTGCCAAGCCCCACAACCTGAGTTCAAGCCCCTGGAATCAAATGGAGGAAAAAGAGAACTGACTCCTGAAAGGTGTGCTCTGGCCTACAAATACACACACACATACACACACACACACATACACACACACACATACACACACATACGCACACTCTCACACACACTCACACACACACAAAGCTTTAAGACTGTTTCAGAAATTCTGGCGATTTCCAATGAAAAGTCATTTAACAATTTTTTATGAACTGGCCACCAACTCAGAAGCAATTTGCAAAATCAATCATTCTAGCACATTACAACTCAAAGTTATACTAATTTGATATTTAGATACTGAGAAATGAGTTATAAAATACTTTAAATTTTCATTTTCTGTAATTAATCTATTGTTTTTGTAAAAGCAGAAAATTTTATGTACACAGTAAAAATGATGCAATTCATACCTGTCTTAGTTAAGGTTTCTATTGCTGTGATAAATCACTGGATTTTCCTAAAGAAAGATCATTCTCAATAGTGGAAAGCTTGTGCTGATTGCCTTCCCAAGTACGATGGTTAAAGTGTTTGGAAGTCAAACATGGTGAGGCGTATCTATAATCCCAGCCCCTGGGAGGAAGAGGTGGTAGGATTATCAGAAGTCAGAGGATAGCCTGGTCCACAGAGGGAGTCAAAGGCTGTGTAAGGCTACTACCCTCGCTAGCTTTTGTCAGCTCTAATCAACAGAGAGTCGCCTGGGAAGCGGGAGTCTCAGTTGAGGGTCTGCCCAGAGCAGACTGTCCACCAGAGAATTTCTTGATTGACATGAGGAGGTCAGGCTCATTGTGGACAATGCTACAGCTGGGCAGGTGGTCCTGGGATGTAAAAGAAGGCCACTAAACATGAGCCAGAGAGAGCAAGCCAGGAAGCGTGTGCTCCATGGTTCCTGTCTCAATGCTTCTGCCTTGAGTTCTTTCCTGACTTCTCTTAAAAATAGATTGTGAACCAGGCATGGAGGCACACACCTGTAATCCCAGCACTCAGGAGGCAGAGGCACGTGGATCTCTGAGTTCGAGGCCAGTCTGGTCTACATAGTGAGTTCAAAAATAGCCAGGGCTACACAAAGAAACCCTGTCTTAAAAAAAAAAAATAGATTGTGACCCGGAAGTGCAAGCCTTTCTCCCCATGAGACTTCTGGTCAGTGTTTCATCACAGCAACAGAACCAATCTCGAAAACAATGACACCCCTGTCTCAGAAGGTCCAAAGAAACAAACAACCAAGCTATGTTTCTAGGAGGTAAGGTTGGAAATGTCTGTAATAGGCTTAACTGTGTCACATACAGCCGTTTGCCTTGTAACAATGTTTCAGTCAGTGACAGGCACCAAGATGTTAGCTGATCTCCAAGAGCCCACTGCCTGTTTTGTTTGTCCCTTGCAGGTGTGTGCTATGCGGAGTTTGGAGTTCGAGTCCCCAAGACTACGGGATCTGCCTACACCTACAGCTATGTCACTGTTGGGGAATTTGTGGCATTTTTCATTGGCTGGAACTTGATCCTGGAGTACCTGATTGGCACGGCAGCTGGCGCCAGTGCCCTGAGCAGCATGTTTGACTCCCTAGCGAACCATACCATCAGCCGCTGGATGGTGGACACAGTGGGCACCCTCAATGGCCTGGGTGAGACCGCATCAACCTCTCTCCTAACATGCAAAGTCATGAGCGAGATGGATAGATGTAGTGATGGCGTGAGCAGGCCTGCTTTTCTTCCTGCCCGGCTCCCGCATGGTTAGCTTTACACTCGGAATAACAACACACAAACTGTATTCTTTTAAACACTGCCTGGCCCTTTATCTGTAGCCTCTTATTGTCTAATTCTTACATCTTGATTAACCCATTTCTAATAATGTGTGTAGCACCACGAAGTGGTGGCTTACTGGGAAAGATTCAGCATGTCTGACCTGGTGACTGGCTCCATGACATCTCTGACTCGGAGAGAAGAAGCATGGAGATTGCCTCACTTCCCTCTTCCTCCCAGCATTCTGTTCTGTCTACTCCACCCACCTAAGGGCTGGCCTATCAAATGGCCAAGGCAGTTTCTTTATTAACCAATGAAATCAACACAAAACAGAAGACCCTCCCACATCAGATAGTTTCCCCTTTAAGAACACAACTTGGAGGCTGGAAAGATGGTTCTGTGAGTACAGTATCCCCTGGGCAAGCTGAGGACCCCAGTTTGGTATCCTCAGAACACACACATCCTGATTTGAAAAATATGTCAAGAACTTTAAATACTTCTTTTTGTTTTTACATGGCAATTCTTCACTCTAAGGAATTATTCTAAGAATACATTATACATAAGATTCTCATCCCAGCCTTCTTTTTAAAGCATACACAGCCCTTATCTGAGATGCTTGGGACCAATAGTTCTTTGACCTTGGGGTTTTTAAAACTTTGGAATATTTATGTCTACAAAATAAGATGCTGGGGGGCTGGAGAGATGGCTCAGCAGTTAAGAGCATTGCCTGCTCTTCCAAAGGTCCTGAGTTCAATTCCCAGAGACCACATGGTGGCTCAAAATAAGATGCTGTGACTGACCATTGACACCTAGGTCTAACACAAAATTTATTGGTTTTTCATATGGCTCTTAAATACATAGCCTGAAGATAATAGTATTCAATTTGTTATACAAAGCTTCATTGTATGCGTGAATCTTATTACTCAGGGCACTGTGGAAAGCACTCAAAACTTTTCAGATTCCATAGCACCTCAAATTTTAGACTTTTAGGTTATGGGTGCTCAATTATAATAATTTTGAAAAATTCTTCACTGGGACAGTTGGCCATGTGAATTGTGGGTACATATTATGTGCCTGACAACTAAAAGGATGACTGAGGAGGATTTCACATAGACTGTGTATTAATATGCAATGTAATGTCACCTATCAAAGACACAGACTGTACTGTGCATGTGTCCTGCCAGTAACTATACAAAAATATACTAATGCAACCAAAGGGACTGGGGAAACTCCACCAGCAATCTCACTGCAAAGTTTCTCCCACTTTTCCTAAATAAATGTTTTCACATCCAAATAATTTTTTGGAGGGGTAGATGAGACAAGGTTTCTCTGTGTAACATCCCTGGCTGTCCTGGAACTCACTTTGTAGATCAGGCTGGCCTCAAACTCAGAGAGATCTGCCTGCCTCTGCCTCCCGAGTGCTGGAGTTAAAGGCATGTGCCACCACTGCCCAAATCTAAATAAAAAAAAATTAAGTAAAAAATGGATTCCAGTACAACCAGCACCCACAAGGCATCTTATTACTGAGCAGGAGCTGAGTGGGTGAGAGATCAACTGACCAATGCCAAGAGGCAGACCATCTGTCACTTGCCACCAGCTCTCCACCCTAATGCCTGGGGTATTCGTCCATATTCACAGGATTAGGAACTGGGGAGGCTTTGGAGTCTTGCCCCAGGATTTCCCAGGACAGCTGGGGATGGAGCTCAGCGGTTCGTGCTTACATGGAGCATTTGAGACCTTGAGTTCAAACTCCAGAGTGCATGTACACATGGTGGGGATGAAGGGGGAGAGGAAGAGGAGGTAGGGAAGGAGAGAGAGGGAAGGGGCATGGGATGGGGAGGCGACCCCAAAAGAAAATCTGAAGCTTTGTCAAACCACCTGTCTTCGGTGTGCTTACCTCAGAAAAGATTTGACAAAAATGCTGACCAGGGCTGAAGAGATGACTTGGTGGCTCAGAGCGCTGGCTGTTTCCTGAGGCCATGAGCTTAGCCCCAGCATCCACGTCAGGTGGCTCACAGCCTCCTAGAGCTCCAGCTCCAGGGCATCCGAGGCCTATGGCCTCTGCAGGTACCTGCTCTCATGTGCACAGACTCGTCCACAGGCACACACAGAGAGACACACAAATTACAGATAATAAAAATAAGCCTTCTTTCGGCATTGCCGATCACCCCCAATGCCATGATAATAAGGAGAAAGATCAGGGCTGTATTCTGATTTCATAACATTTTCATTCTGAAATGACCCCAAAATCGATCCTCCATCTCGCTCCCTCTGCAGATGAGGTCCAGAGAGATGAGGCGTTGTGCCCAAGGCCGCACTGTGGGCTGTTGGCAGGAGTGCAGCTGGAACCCAGGCTTCCTCCCTGACTGCTAAGACAGTGCTTCTTCCTCTCCATAGAGGGCAGGCGTCCACTGGCTAGCGGACAGACCGAGCCAGCAGGACATGCTCACTGGACATTTGCTCTCTGTGACCACACACACACACACACACACACACACACACACACACACACACACACCAAATGAGAGAGAGAAGAAAAACTCTTGAAATGACTTTTCAAAGTGCTCATTTTGAAGCTTGCTAATAAAGAAAGATTGTGACATGGGATAGAAACCTTGCAGATTGCAGGCTAACAATAATAAAGAGAAAGAAGCTTTCAGAGAATGTATCAGACTTATTTGTGTGCTACAAATGTCCAAGATGCTCTGACTTCCACAGGTACTTTGCAGCTGTCTCATTACATGCTCCAAATTTTGATCTATGGTGTCACATAGCCTTATCTGTGTCCCAAACGTCCTCATTTGCAAATAAACACTTATTCCTGCTCATGGACCATACAGTGAGACAGACAGATAACTGACTGACGACAGACCGACAGAGCCTTTGCTGCTCTTTTTGAAAGACTAGCCGCTGCTCTACTAGTCATAATAGCAAGACAGATGCAATGAGGTTGACTGAGTCACAGGGCCCTTTCTTCTCTTCAGACAATGCTAACCATGTTTCGTCCTGTAGGGAAAGGAGAGGAGGCCTACCCAGACCTTCTGGCTCTGGTGATTGCTGTCATCGTGACCGTCATCGTGGCTCTGGGAGTGAAGAATTCTGTGGGCTTCAACAACGTCCTCAACGTACTGAACCTGGCAGTGTGGGTGTTCATCATGATTGCAGGCTTCTTCTTCGTTAATGGCAAATACTGGGCTGAGGGCCAGTTCTTGCCCCACGGTTGGTCAGGGGTGAGTTTTTTCCACGCTGGGAACAGGCTAAGACACGTCTTCAGGAAAATGTCTTTTTTTAGTTGGGAATGCTTTGAATAAGTCTTTTGATTCTTAACTTGTTTCCAGTCTCACTGGCATGTGCTGAGACCCCAGTCTACACACATAGCAGTAACCTGTTAGATGTGGTGTGCTCTCTCAACATGCCTACCTCCATGCTACATGCTGTGTGCAGTATCTCACCATAGCATCACAATGACCTCAGGCAGAGAACAGTCACACCTGGGCCTGCAGGATGAAAGCCTCGCACCCAGAGAGGGCCAGTAGCTCACTGTTAAGCGCTGTGCCAATGGCAGAATCAGAACCCAAAGCCAGGAGTATTGGATCCAAATGTGTAGAAACAGCTCAGTTCTGCTAAGAGCAGCAGCCATGCGCAGAAATAGACAAACTGGTAAAGGAAGCCAGGAAGAGTGGGTGAAGGGGAAGGGCTGAGATTGCCTGGGTGTAAAATAAGGGCAAAAACTTATAATCACACTCCAACATCTAACCCTGAAAAGAGAGTCCTGCTGGGGTCTGGGAGCAGCGGAGTGACCGCTTCAAGTCCCACCTGAGAGGCACACAGTCTGGCTAGTATAGTCTGGGGGACAGGAGGGCAAGCTTGGAGGAAGGGACACCTTCAGATTCCACCCCAGGACCTGGTGACAGTAAAAATGTCAGTCTTGATGGTGAGTTCCTTATACTAAGGGGCGGTTCTCAGTCCCACTGACTTTTTTCTACAGTGTAGCTAGAAAATACTTATTTTGTGGACTTATTGGTAAATAAATTCAGACCTTTTTGAGCTTAAGTCAGGAATTTTCCAGATGGCAGCATCTCAGAAGTTCCCAAGTCCTGTCCTCTCATTTCACAAGTGAGTGACTATCCAGAGGCCCAGAGAACCAGGTCCTCCTGGTGTTGGGGTACAGCGCAAATGGAGGACTCTGCTCAATTTGCTTTTGTAGCATTTGCTTAGACTGGTTTTCCTCCAAGATGTCCAGGGATCCAAAATCATTCTTGGAGAACACTCAAAATAACCTCTGTTATTCTAAGCTATGCCATGCTACTCATCGCAGAGAAATAAGCTAGCCACTTAAGCCCAAACTGTGAGTCTTCTGCTAATCCGTAAGAATTCCATAGACCCACAAAGCACATCCCTGCTCTCTGAAATGAATAAAGGCTGAAACTGGTCGAAACCAGAAAGAGGGACAAAGAAGCACTGTTGGAGCCTGAGTCTACATCTCTTATGATACAAATTGTTCTTTTCCTATCTCCGAAGAGAAACAACAAATTCTAGGAGTGGAAACAAGGAATGTCTCCCAGCCTGGACTGAGTTTTTACTGTAACTAATGAAAGTGTTCTCACGGTTTTCTCCGCACTGTGAGGGATGACTGGGCTGAGGGCTTACTGGAAGACGCTGGGCAACAGTTCACTTCTGTGTTCTCAGTCCTTCTCATTATCAAGGGAAGAGACAAACTCCATCAAATGTTTGCAGAAAAGGAGTCCTTGGGTGCCTTTGTGTGGCACTGTGAGACCAATGCCTGTCTGCCATGCTAGCTGCTGCCCATCAGTGCTGCATCAGTGCTGGCCTGCGCTTACAGCCGCGGTCTAAAGCAAGCGGAGTTCTCTCCTACCATATGCTTGGAGATCCCAGGGTTCTGAGGACTGGTAACACACTTGGTCTCATTTCTCTCAGTCAGTCAGAGCAGGGGCTGTGTGATTCCCAGGCCTTTTCTTCCCTTTTTTAGTACCCCGTGTATACTATGCTGACCCCTCCCCTCTAAGCATTCTTAAAAATAATAATGAGGAGGCTGGGAAGATGGCTCATCAGGTAAATCACTTGCTGCATAGGCAACAAACGTGGAGATCAAAGTTCAAATGCCCATAACCCACATAAATGCCAGCCAGATAGGCATGGTAGCCCATCAGTAATTCCAGCTATTGAAAGTTTGAGACAGGGTATCCAGGGCATGATAACAGGCTGAACTGAATATGGTGGAGAGCAACTGAGGAAGACTTAACATCAATATTGGACCTGCACAAGCAGGCACAAGTGTGCATATGTACACCTTCACGAATGCAAGCACACATACATGCTCACCTACACACGCAGGCACACGTGTGCATATGTACACCTTCACAGAGGCAAACACACATGCCCATAAATCACAATAACAATGAGGTAACTAATCTTACATATTTTCTTTAAACCTTTGTGAAGATTTAGAATATTGGAATTTCTCTCTCTCTCTCTCTCTCTCTCTCTCTCTCTCTCTCTCTCTCTCTTTGCATTCATGGGTATTTTGACTGCATGTGTGTCTGTGCACCATGTTCAGGCAGCACCTGCAGAGTCCAGAAGAGGGAGCAAATCCTCTGGAACTGGAGTTGAGTGCTGGAAATCAAATCCCTGTCACATGGAAGAGCAATTGCTTCTCTTAACTGCAGAGCCATCTCTCCAGCCCCTGAGCTGAAAGAGACATTAAGCAATGACAAGTTCATATCTTCTCTCAGACTGAATGTGCATACCCACACAGTAGCTCAGCTCCTGTGAGGGCTAGGAGGAGCGAGAGGCCTCTGCACAGACACTCCTTCCCAGCTGTGAAGGAAGGAGCAAGGGGCCTCTGCAGAGACACTCTTTCCCAGCTGTGAAGGAAGCGGATGGATCTTTTTATCCTTTCTTCCTGGGTCTGGGGTCTTCCTGTTCTGGGGTCTTCATCCTCTTCAGGGCATCTTCTTCCCACTTCGGGGATTCTGCATCCTTCCCCAATCAAGAGACCACTGCTTCAAGAAGGAATTATCAGACTGGCTTTGGGGGCCCTGGTTTATGCACCCTGGGTCTCCCTTGCATTTATAGAAAGAAAACAAGGACTAGACTTAGAGGTAAAGGAGAAAAAAAACAAGGACCCCCTCACACTTAACGTCTCTTTGTGACAAGATCTTTCAAATAAATGCTTCATTTCTTCTTCCTAAGAGCCCAGGGAGCATCACGGCTCTCCCCTTTCAGACCAAAATGGCTCACGTTTTATCCAGACGACAGTGCTAGTAACAATCTAGTAGAAATGAATCCCAGCCTTGGGTGAACCAAAGTCCACATTTATTCCACCGTTGCCTGGTTTCTACCACTTGAGGCCTCCCAGCTTTGTCTAACCCTCTGGTCACTGACCCCACCTAGTAACTCCAGCAGACTTGTCATTGGTCACCAGGAAAGCCTGACTGGGAAATTGGATTTTTAATGTGCATCTATTATCCCTGAAGGAAGCAAGTGTGCAAGCCTGTGCTGTGACGTAAAAAGCATTTTCTGAGCATGAGGGACAGCGTGGGAGCCGCTATTGTTCACCTTCCTGCTCCCTGCCTGGCCTGGGATTGCTGCACCGTGCACATACTCCCCCGTGAACAACCTGACCTTGCTCTTTTGCAACTGTGGTATCAGATCATTGTTCTTGTCCAGCCAGGCCACTGTGAATTTAAATCATGCATCGCCAAAGCCTGACACCTTCTCATGACTCGATCATCTGCCACAGTGGTGAATGGTCCCCACTCTTATCTAACAAATGTCAGGGAAAAAAATGTTTTCTCATGTAGCATGAATGTCTATGCTGCTTCGGGAACTCCTGAACCCCACTGTAAAACTAGGGGGTTAGTGCAGAGTTCCAGTAACTTGGCATGTGCTGTGCTTTAGGTAGAAGGGGAAGAGGAAACGAGGTAGGGTTTCATAAGGATACTGTCACATTGGTTTAAGCGCAGCTCTCAAGTGCCATGAACGGGTTAACGAACAACCAGTCCTCTGGCAAGGGGGGGGGGGGCTCACAAACCTCTTCCAGCCACCTCCTTCCAAAGAAAACAGCTCAAGGAATGGTTTACTCACTTAAAGGTTCTGGGTCAAGTGCTTCTTTGGTCTTGAAGAGCTTAAGAACAACAAACATTTTCCCCTATATCAAGTGACTCCGGCCCTCAGTTGAACCCCTGCCCCCATCTGCAGTTCCTCAGCCCCTGGACGGCGTTGGATGTGTGCGCCCTTTATGTTATTTGTTCTTGATGCTATCTTATGGTTTGCCTTTAACCAAATAAGATATTTTACCAGCACAAATAGCCCCCAGGAAAAATAGTCCATAGTCAGAATTTGCAAAGAATTCCGAAGACCTCCAAAGGAAAACTATTACTTTCCGTAGTCTCCTTGTCTGGATCGTCTGTTGGAGCCTATTAACACATTCCACTGTCACTGAGGATGGACTGCTAACAGAGCCAGGGCATGGGGTGGCTAAAAATGCCATTACCATTGTCGTCTTGTCTTGTCGCCCTGGCAGTAAAATAGATAAAGGGGCCTCGTTATTTTCTGATGTCTGAGGCTTCTCAAGACAATGCAGGAAGCCCACCTCCTCCCAACACCTCACAAACACCATCCAAGCCGGGGAGGCTCAGCTTTTAGGGACCCTGCACACTGAGTAGCAAGCCCCTCACGACAGTGCTGTTGACAAGTAAGCTAGCAAGAGCTTCTTCTCTGCAGAGCTGTTGTCAGGGTTAGCCCAATCTGAATTATCTGGGCAAGCACCCACACAGGCCTCACCACACGCAGGTTTCTTATGTGTTACTGGTATCGCAACCGTAAATGTCACTGGCCAGATGAGATCTGGGGAGAGAGAGGTAGGAATCAGCTTTTATGATCAAGCCTTCTCAGTTTTGTTTTGTTTTTGAGGTTCTTTGTACTCACACTTGTTTACAAGAGAAAGAGAGTGGAGAGGGGGGGGGAGAGAGAGAGGGAGAGAGAGAGAAACAGAGAGAGAAAAACAGAGAGAGAGAGAGAGAGAGAGAGAGAGAGAGAGAGAGAGAGAGAAGAAATAATCTTATCAGACGGTGTACACTGGTAATCCCAGCAGGCTAGAGACACTGTTAAGCAGGTCATGTCTTCGAGAGCAACCAGGATCTCATAGGGAGACTTTGTCTCAAAACAAAATAAAAAACTAACTCAACTAAAAAGTTGATCTTTCTGCTAATTTAGTTTTATTTTCCCTGTCTTATTAGGCTGAGTCTATTTGACCTGGTGTGTTAAATTCACCCCATATTTCCTCTTCCACCCTGGTCTACCTCCACTTTTCCCATCTGTCCAGTATTCCAGACTCCTTCCTTGCTCAGCATGTAGGGTTTAGCCAATAGGAGAGATTGCCAGACAATCAACAGATGGAAAGAGAGCAAGGTCTTGGTGTTACCGCCTCACCCCTGCCTGGCCCTGGCTCCACACTGGCTGTGTGCTCTGCTGGCCAGCCCAGCTCCCCATATCTAGTTCTCATTGGATTCCAGTACTACCATTCTGCGCTGGGCTCCTACACTTATAGATGGCAATCTTGCTTCAGCTTTCCTAGCTGAAGCTCTGGTACTGCCTGGATTTCTCCTCATCCATGTCTATATTCCCTTCATCAGTTTCATCCTCCCACCACCCCACATCGTCGGTGTTGAATTCAAATGCAGAAGGACTCTCAAACACCCAGTCTTCGATGGATCTGGTCTTTCTTCAACTTCATAGCTTTCTAATGCAACATGAGCCTATGCATCTTCATCATCTTCACAAGTGCATGTCTCTCTTCCCAGCAAGATCATACTTAATTTTCTAGTGTCTAATCAATAATTGTCATCCAAAGCCGGGTGTGTAGTACAAGCCTTTAATCCCAGCACCAGAGAGGCAGAGACAGGTGGATCTCTGAGTTCAAGGCCAGCCTGGTCTACAGAGTGAGTTCAGGATAGACTGACTAGTGAAATTATAAATGGGATTCCTTTCCAGAAAAAAAATTCACAAATTTCCCATAACCAGAACTGCTAGGCTGGGAGACTGGAACCTGACCATGACAGCTGAGAGCCTCCGAAGGAAACTGCCTTGCTTTCCCCATGGCCAACACGACTCCGGACTGCTTGAGAAGCTATTCACATCTGCAATGCGTTGTCCTGCTTGTTTCCGGCATCTAGGATTTTGATTTGTGCTTATGAAGGAGTCTGTGCAGAAGTTAACACTTTGGGCTAGAATCCATTTGTCACGTCCTTTACAAACCACACGTGCGGAGGGGGACAGGTGGTCCACTCTCCACACGCCCTATCCTCCTGCACCCCTCTCTGAGCTTGGAGCTGTGTCTTCATCCAGAACACACCATCCATCTTCAAGGGCACCCCAACTATTTAAAGAGGCACATTTTCATTTTCAGTAGATAGGCTAGGAAAGCCCACTTAAAAGAAAGCCATGTGGTCCTCAATTGCAGGGTATTAATGACATCTTAACTGAAGGCCTGACCACCCTTGGAGTCACCTAAAATCCTGCCGACAGACATAAGCAAAGTTTCTGGTTGAATGGAATTCTCCCGGGCACTTTGTCCAACTGCCTGCCTCATACCCAAAGAAGCAGAGAGTCAAACAATCTCATCTCCCCATCTTTCCTTTAAAGGCACTAGAAATCCAAGCCTCATGGCCCCCAGTCTAGACACCACCACAGAGGTGCAGAATAATACTTTGTTCAGAAGTTTATGCATCTCACCCACAAATGGCCAGCAGCTCATATCCAGTGTATCCCCCCTCACACAAAACCTAGGGTCTCATGCGTGCTAGTGAAGGTTCTCCACCCCTGAGCTACCCTCTCAGGCCTCCTCCACGGTGCCGCCTGCATATTTTGTACTTTAGGTTTTATTTTCACCTGTCAGCACTCAACCACGATGTAAGAGATTTTTGGAAATGCGGAAAGGTGGGTTTTTTTTCTTTCAAAAAGAATTTGTACGTTGACTAACCCACTTCTTATTTAGCCAAAAAAATTCTCATCCGTTTTTATCACACGAGGAAATGCCCAGAGTCATACAGCAGAGTCGGGTAGAGCAGAACTGGGCTGCTTCCTCCTAAATCTTCCACAGCTCCCCTGTGCCATTCAGGAGTGTCTACAGAGCACCGGGCTGTCCTGGGCACCACGTTTAAGCCATGGTTCTGCCCTCATCTGAGCCTGACAGATGTCATCGTCTTTACAGGTGCTGCAAGGAGCAGCCACGTGTTTCTATGCTTTCATTGGTTTTGACATCATTGCCACCACTGGGGAAGAAGCCAAGAACCCCAACACATCCATCCCGTACGCTATCACCGCGTCCCTGGTCATCTGCCTGACAGCGTATGTGACTGTAAGTACCACATGCTGACGGGACCTGCGCATGACCTTTGCACTTTATTGTGACAGATGGCTGGCTCTAGAGCTAAGAGGTTCAGTATCGTGGTGCAAGTGCAAGGACGGGAGATCGATCCTGAGAACTCGCATGGAGCCCAAAGTCAGGCACGATCGTTTGTGCTCATAATCCCAGCACTGGGGAAGCATACAGACAGATGCCTGGGCTCACTGACAGCCAGCTCCATGAGAGACCCTGTCTAAAAAAAACGGTGGACAGTACCTGAGGAGTATTTAAGGTTGTCCTCTGCACACACACCTGTACACATCTGCACATGCACACGCATGCTCACATTCACACTCACACATACATATACACGCTCACAACAGCAACAAATGTGGCTGTGGGATCGACGCCTCCTCTCTCAGGACATGGACTTCTCACTCCGTGTTGGTGCATGCACACTGTTCCCTTGGGTCCCCTGTTGCTCTACCTATCAATGAGAAAAAGAAACTCGGGAGAGAAAATCCACCGGCCCTCACCTCAGCCTGTGCCTCTCACGTCTCCTTCCCCACCCTTTCCTATGCCTAGGGACAGTGTGCAAGGAGTGGGCTGTCGGCCAAGCAAGGCAGGTCATAGGCTGGCAGTAACGGGTGGCCTCAGTGCACAGCCCTCAATGCGCTTCTGTCTTCTGGGAGCTTCCCGGCAGTGGAGAAGCAAGGCTCCCACAGAGGGAGCAAGAGAACACGCTGTCCTTGGGAGACTCCCTCGCCCTGAAATCTGGAGAGAAATGCAATTCTTTTCAGCTTGGTCTCCTAACACCAACTCAAGCTCACCCTAGGGGTTTCCCTCAGAGCGAAGCCTCCAGCCTAGTCTCCTCAGGATGCAGGAATAAGCTTACACACACACACACACACACACACACACACTTCTCAGTCCCCACAGCAGAATTTCTCTCACAGAAATTGTTAGCCTCATCCAACATCTTCTTGGCCCCTAGAACGACCTGACCAGCCACCGGGACATGGACACTCCCTGATTCTGAAAGTCTATCTGGGTCACCACACTCAGGAAAAAGACAGTATCCAGGGTGGATGCCACCCCCAAAGTTTCCAATATGCTATTCTGATAAAACATACGTGTCCAATGAGCAAAGTCAGGGAAATTAGGAAAAACTCAGGATGAGGTACGCTCTATCAGACTGGCCAACTCTCATCACTCCAAAAAAAAATATCATCTTTAGCCATTACTTAAGGAATATTGACCAAATGATAAGCAAGATGCAAAGCCAGGTTATCCATTGATAGAAATTCAGTTGCCCACCCAGACATTTTATGAATGGGCCAATTATCACCTCCCTCTGTGAACACACACTCAAGTGGCTTCATATTCTATCCAAACCCTGATTATCCTACGTTGTGGGAGACGTAGTAGGGCAGGATCAAGAGTCCTCCTCTGCCCTGTTTGTCTCCTCCCATGTCTTCATCATTCCACCCCTCCTGTAGAAGTAGACCCTGGCAGCGTGCACACACAGTAAGCTCACCATCGTGGCTCTTTCCTTCAGTAGCACTTTCTAAATGACAGAATCCTCTTGTGTAACCCATACTGGTCCGTGTGGCTGGAAGGCTCTGAGGTTTGCTGTGAGACTCGATCACACTCCTCCAGCCACTCTACTGCATCCACAAAGGTGCTGTGACAAGTGATACCCCCTGGAGGGCCACTGTCTCTCAGACTACATAGGCCTTAGCCGTGCCTCGGGGCCACTTGGTCTTGTACTGGCCAGGAAACAGTCACTGCTCCACCAAGGGACTGGGCTGCTGCACCGTATTCTGCTGCCTTCTCTGGTGACCCATAGCTTCCATGGGGGCCTTGACTCCCAAGGGTCAGGAAAGGAAGTGGTCTGATGTGACCTCCCTCCCCATTTAATTCCCTTCTTGGTATCAGGGGTGTTTTTACATGCCAGAAGTCACATGTGATTGCTGGTTCCATTTTTTTAGGGCCAGTGCTTAAAAAAAGTCAATTTTTCAGCAGATCTTTGACATAGAAAGGAAAACAGGACCCCTACAGGAGTCCCCAGACAAGTGTACCTTGGTCAAGTAGAGACACGGTGGCTTCGCAAAGCATGATGGGATCCATCTTGAATGCACAATTCTCTGTTGGCCTGCATGGCCCTTCGCACTAAACCAGAGAGAAGAAATGAAATATGAGTCCTCATTGTCTGTGGAAATCTCAAACACTTTCAGTGTTTGGACCTCCAAGGCTTAGAGTGAGAAGGAGGACAGATCAGAACCAGAAGCGTCCTAAAGAAATGAAAGAAGTAAAAGCCTTGTCCTGGTGACATAGTCCAGTGGGTAAAGGTGCTTGCTGCAAAGCAGACAACCTGAGATGGATCCCTGTAAACCATGGGACAGAAGAGAACTGAGCTGCCCTAAGATGTGCTTCAGCCTACAAACACACGCACACACACACACACACACGTACATACAAGCACACACACAGAGGCACACACGCATATGTACATACAGGCACACACAGAGAGACACACACATGCATACACATGTACAAATGCACGTGCACACACATTCAAACACATACATGCACACACACATGCTTGCACACACACACATATTGAAAAACACAATTATAAAATAGAAGAGGAAGAAGGAGTGAGAGCCTCATCCTTAGAGGTGGGGCACTTGCGACTCTGGCTACAGCTCCTTCCATCCGGAGATGTCTCAGGGTAGATCTGTTTCTGTGAGGCTTGAAACAGCTGTGAGGGTTCATCCTCACATAGGAAAAGGCCGCGGAGACATTTTGGAGATTATTTAGTCCCAACCACCAAAAGCAAAAGGGGGGGGGGGCGGGAACGTGGAGACCAAAGGATCTAAACAAAAGTCATATGCCAGTTAATGGCTCTAAGCTACCACAAAAGTCTCTGTCTCCAGGTTGGGGTCACCCACCCATGCTGTCCGTCTCCTCTGCCTCCAGTCTGTCTTCTTTTGTCTTGACAGGTGAGCATGATCTTAACGCTAATGGTGCCGTATTACGCCATCGACACGGAGTCCCCCCTCATGGAGATGTTTGTGGCCCATGGCTTCTATGCTGCAAAGTTTGTAGTGGCTATTGGATCAGTGGCAGGACTGACAGTCAGCCTGCTGGGCTCCCTGTTCCCCATGCCCAGAGTCATTTATGCCATGGCTGGTGATGGGCTGCTTTTCAGGTAAGGGGTCCCCCAGAAACGATTCCCCCTCTGCTCTTCCTATCCAGGAGGCTGTCACCCACTGGCACTCAGCTTCATGGATACCTTTCCTAAGCTTGTCAAAGTCTGGGTTTAAAGAGCTCAGACTCTGAAATGGCCTGTAGTCGACTCTAGGTCCCTCAGGCCAGAACCAGGGGATGTGTGCGTGTCTCCCTCCTGTGACATGCATTTCCTTGTGGGGGCAGTGGGGTCAAAATCGCTGCATAGAAGGTGACATCACTTTCAAAAGGAAGAACCCAGAGGCCTTTTGGCCTGCCTCCTAGTGAGACCTAACCCAGGGACCTCTTGGCCTGCCTCCTAGTGAGACCTAACCCAGAGGCCTTTTGGCCTGCCTCCTAGTGAGACGAGGTTTCTTTCCCAGGGCCCCATGAAGCTGAAAACATTCAAAAGTCAGAGAGGAGATAAAATCCTCTAATGATAACATGGCAATTGTTACAGTAACAGTCATTTGTGGGACAGTTACAGCAGCTGGGAGCTCTGTGTACTGTGTTCCCTTGTCGCTCAGACACTGTTTGGCAGATGAGTATGCCAGCAATTAAAGAGATAGGAAAGTCTTGATCCAAACCTTGAAGCTGATGAGTGGTGGGCCAGAACTTGAAACCAGAACTATCTGGCCTGAAACTCTGACTTCCATTGTTTAATTGTGTGGGTGTTTGGTCAGCTTGTTTCTGTGCACCAAGTGTGTAGTGCTCCAAAAGGCCAGAAGGGGGTGTCAGATCCCCCGGAACTGGAGTTAGCGATGGCTGTGAGCTGCCATGTGGGTGCTGAGAACTGAGCCAAGGTCCAATGCCAGAGCAGCCAGAGTCTTCACAGCTGAGTTGTCCCTCCAGGCCTGGCCCTCAGACTCTTCCCAGTAGCAAGCTTTGAAAGTTTCAGCATTTTCAGTAGCCATGAAGTGGTCTGTCTTTCACTGAGAAAATGGGATTTGCCCTACTGTGGGAGGTGAAGCAGCTCTCAGAGGTGTCAAGAGAACACGCTCAGGGGCTTTATTGCTGCCACCAGCTGTCACTTCCTGATCTGTTTCCTCTGCCTGTTCCCTGAGTTCGCAGGCTGGAGCAGTTGCATTGGGATGCTGGGTAGATCAGGACAGGAACTGATCGGTAATGGCGTGATGGCTGACGGCCTCATATACCCATAAGCTTTCCTTGCCATAAAAAAACAAAACCAAAAAATCTAAGAGGATCGATGCTGTGGGCCTAGCACACTGAACGGTTTTGTGTGGCCCATAGGGGAGAAATAATAAAGGATAGAGAAGAAAGGGCCAGGAGAGAGGGGGCAGAGGAGCCTCTTTAAGGCTCCCAGGGCCTGCTGCAGGAGGGCTGTATTTTAACCACCCTTGGACCTGTGTCTATGAGCGTCTTAACTGGCATACTGTTTTACCAACTCGATCCCTGAACTCTTGTTGCAGGGCAGTGTCTCAGGTTTGAAAACTTGGGTGTCTTTTAAAGTATAGTTGACTGGACATCACCTCCAAAAACTCTGAGGTAGTAGGGCTGGTGAGAATATTCCTTCCCAGCAAGCAGTGGTCATGCTGCAGATTGACAGGTCCCCAGCATCCATGGGCTTCCGTGTGGATTTGTGACAGGGCCCCTGGAATCGATCAACCTTCCTGTCACATAGTGAATAGGACTCCTGGGTTTGGGGTTTTTTAAGGCTGCAAATCAAGGAATTAAAGTGAATTCTCTAATGATATCCAAAGAGCCAAATGTTGGGAGTGGGGCAGTAGATAAGTTAGCAGGAAGGGCAGAGCCAGAAAGAGCCAACCACACCAAGCTGTTGGCGTTGTAGCTCTAACCTACTGGTGTGTTGGAATCAGTCACCATGGGCAGTGTGACTCCTCCATGGGCAGTGTGACTCCTCCATGGGCAGTGTGACTCCTAACCCTCTGTTTGCCTCCTCCACCCAGGTTCCTGGCTCACGTGAGCTCCTACACAGAGACGCCAGTGGTAGCTTGCATCGTGTCAGGGTTCCTGGCCGCTCTCCTCTCACTGCTGGTCAGTCTGAGGGACCTGATAGAGATGATGTCCATTGGCACACTCCTCGCCTACACCTTGGTCTCTGTCTGTGTCTTGCTCCTGCGATACCAACCCGAGAGTGACATCGATGGCTTCGTCAAGTTCCTGTCTGAGGAGCACACCAAGAAGAAGGAAGGCATCCTTGCTGACTGTGAGAAGGAAACCTGCTCCCCTGTGAGTGAAGGGGAGGACTTCTCCAGCACTGCCACCAACACCTGTGGGGCCAAGAACCTGCCATCCTTGGGGGACAATGAGATGCTCATAGGGAAATCAGATAAGTCCACCTACAACGTAAGCCACCCCAACTACGGCACTGTGGACATGACCACGGGCATAGAAGCCGATGAGTCAGAAAACATCTATCTCATCAAGCTGAAGAAGCTGATTGGACCCCGATACTACACGATGAGAATCCTGCTGGGCCTTCCAGGCAAAATGGACCGGCCCACAGCAGCGACAGGGCACACGGTGACCATCTGTGTACTCCTGCTCTTCATCCTCATGTTCATCTTCTGCTCCTTCATCATCTTTGGCTCCAACTACATCTCCGGTCGGAGCTGGTGGGCCATCCTTCTGGTTGTTCTGATGGTGCTGCTGATCAGTGCGCTCGTGTTTGTGATCCTGCAGCAGCCAGAGAACCCCAAGAAGCTGCCGTACATGGCCCCCTGCCTCCCCTTTGTGCCTGCCTTCGCCATGCTGGTGAATATCTATCTCATGCTAAAGCTCTCCACCATCACATGGATCCGGTTTGCGGTCTGGTGCTTTGTGGGTAAGCAATGTCCTCCGGAGCCTTGGGCATCCCCTTTATAAGGTCTTGAACAGGCTTATCCCAACATTACGCCCTAACTGGATGGGACACCTCCATTATTAGAGAAATCTGGTTGGTTCTATAGACCCATGCTTTCTTCATTGGTCAATAAAGCCAGTTGCCCCTGTTCTACCTGATATGCTCTTGGTCACTGGTTCTAGAAGAATAATGCTTATCAATCCATGACTTCATTCAATTCCTAACTATTGAAAGTTCTTGTGTGAGCATAAGTAGTACCAGAAAAGGGTTGGTTAAAATGAATACCCGTTTTTTTTTTTAAGACATAAAAGTACCAGAGGGAAATATGATGGGGTGTGGGGGGAGGTTGGCTGGAATCCTCTTAGACACTAAAAATTATGATAAATTATAAAAGAATTCACTGATCTTAACTTGGCCAAATTAAACTAAAAGGTCAGTCATAGTCTAACTTTTTTAAAGAAACAGAGCCTGAACTATGTGTGGATTGGGGCATTGTTTTTCAGACACAGTTTTACCATGACACACTTCACATCTCTCAGTTCATTCTGGCTTTTGTAAATATTCAAGATTTTTCCCCGAGGCCCTCGTGTTACCCTATGAAATGTCAGGGGGAGGTGCCCACTGCACCTTCGTCCTCGCTGACCTTCATCCGTCCTTGATGAGCGAGCTAACTCAGCTAGAGCCTCTGCCTACACCTCTCCTGGGGTAAACCCCCACTGCTCTCAAACTCACCTCCACTGACTTGGAGAAGCCCCACACTTTCGCAAGAACTCTAATCCGACTTTGTGGTCAATTGAATTGCACTTTAGTTCCATGTTGGTCGTATCTGACTATTCCTGGTGTTATGTGGCAGCTGGGCATGGGTCAGTATGACTTGAGAGGGGCACCTCAGCAAATTTTAAGGTTCATTTGTCACTGTAGTTAAGTCTGTGGTGGCCCAGGGGTCTCCTCCAGAGCTTTGCGAAGCAGGAGAGTCACACTCTTGGCATTTCCTGCCTAAAGCAGGAGGACAAACAACCAAGGGTCAGTTCATCAGGTTGAGGAGACAGACACTCACATTGACTAGCAGCCTGTTGGCTACTTGAGGCCAGGGCACGCGGGCGTCCAGCATGCGCCTAGAACAAAGAGCCTGTGGGACGAGCTCAAGGAATGTTTCTTAAACGACTGTGAAGTACTTTTCCAGAGAGAAAAAAGGTGAGAATGGTCAGAAAGCACTTGGAGGAAGTAGGGCATGTGTCGGGCCTGACTGGAAGACTTCAGGAAAAGGAGGTGGGAAAAGCTGCAACCAAAAGGAAGGGCAAGTTTCTCCCAGAGGGTCCCATTCTCTGGGCCACATTGTGTCTTCCCAAAACATTCTTTCCTGGCCTTTCTATAGCTTATTTCTCTGTTAAGCTTTGTGGGTTTTCTTAAGAAAACCCCACTGACTCATCGAGATTTTCCCTATTTATTAACAAGATCGCATCTCTCCTTACCATGTTTCCACTGTAGCCAAGGGAGACTGCTCCAGACAGAAGTGAAGGAAGAGGGGGAAAGATTTTAGTTATGTGGCTGACAAGTGAATGAGGCATAGATAGCAATACATGTGGACAGGTTCATTGGACAGGAAAACTAGAAGGCCTTCTGCATCCAGAGCAGGGTCAGGGCCACAGCCAGGTGCCCACCCCATGAGTCAAGGCACAGATAGCTTCAGGGACTATTTATGTGAGCTTTCTATAATGCTTTATGGTGTTTTGTGAGAGGGCCTGCTTTTGGTTCTGGCTGCCCAACTAGTTTATACCCGAAATAATCACACAGAAATTGTATTAATTAAGGACTACCTGGCTTGTTTTAGCCTTTTATTGGCTAACTCTCACATCTTGATTCAACCCACTTCTAATTATCTGTATATCACCACGAGGTCATGGCTTACTGGGAAAGATTCAGCATGTCTGACCTGGCAGCTCCATGGTGGCTCTCTCTCTGCCCTTCTTCCCAGCATTCTGTTCTGTCTACTCCACCTACCTAAGTGCTGCCCTATCAAAAGGCCAAGGCAGTTTCTTTATTCAACCAATGAAAGCAACACATAAACAGTAGAACCTCCTACACCATTATGGTCCTACTCTTTCACATTTAAAAGTGAAAAACTCCCAATGTGGGAATCCTGTGATTTAACAAATGCTTTTGCTTAGGAAAAAGCTATATATGGGGTTTTTTATTTCAAAAATGAAAAATGGTAAAGAAAAGAACATCAATTCTTATATACAAACCTATGACTCATAGAAGTAATTACCAACAATAAATATAGCACTATTTACACATTATTGTGAGGGTTTTGCCTCACTTTTCTTTTTTTGTTGTTGTTTTGGGAGGTTGAGTTTGTTTTGTTTTGTTTTTTAATTACAACATTGTTGGACCAATAGCTTAGGCATCTTTCTAGCCATCTCTTCTATCTTAAATTACCCCGTTTTTATTAGTCTATGCATCACAATTACCTCACCTTTCAGTCCTCATGGCAATCTTTACTGCATAGTTGAAGAAATTGTGGCTCCTGCTTACAGACACATAACCAAAATCTAGCAGAGCCAAGGTCAGAACTAGGCTAGGATGGATGGTTGCAGAGTCCTTCATCCGGGCCAGGACATGGCTTGGTGGTAGAATGCTTGCCTAGAAAATGCAAGAATCTTGGGTTGATCCCTAGCTCCCCAAACAAACCCTGAGCTTCTTAAATAGAGACCTCCACCACAGCCACCATGCTAAACATACAGTCTGTCACCGCCTCTGTCCCTCTTGGTGTGATGCAGGAGTAAATTAAAAACTCCAAACGTCAGATAGCACCAAAGTTAGCAGGAGAGTGGACTCCTGACCTGGTGCCCACACTTCAGCTCTGGGCTCTTATCTTCCCCACCACCACTCTCTGAGAAACGTTCTTATTTGATCTGAATGTTTGGTGGGGCTAAAACCCGGCAGTGGGCCTGCGCTCCTAGTCATATTGTCTCTGTGCAGGGCCCCAGGCCAGGGCTAACGGTCTGCTGGAGCTATTTTGAATTCTTGATAATTTCTGATCAAGAGACCCCATGTTTTCCCTTTGCACAGAGACTGAGACTTATAGCCAACTCTATAACACATCCGTGGTTCTTACGGCACCTAACAGTGCCAGGTTCAAATGAGAGCCCTGCCCCAGCCTTGACCTATAAATTTAAAAATTCCCCTAATTGCATTGAGCTTTGGTCATTCTGTCATCTTTGAGCTGTGGCTGCTGGGGACCCAAATGAGAAAGTGATGGAGAAAGTAACAAATCCTTATCTCCTGTTTTTCTTCTAAAGCCCTGAAGGACTCATTGTCCTCCAACTTGGCCGGGTTACCTATCACTGGGCAGACCACACTGTGTTCGTCCCCACCTCAGGCCGCCCCACTTGTTATCCGGCAGAGGAAAACTCCCTGAGAGCCTTTTGCAAACTTGCTGATCATGCAGCCCGCAAACTCCCTCAAGAAGCTGCTTCTCACTGACCTAGCAGGAAGCTACACTGCAAAGTGGGCCGGCTGACGTCTATGCCCAACAAGCACCCAGAGCCGGTGCACAGCCCACCAGTCACGTTGGGGATTGCTAACTCTTGTGGGCACTGTCTGCCCGCTAATTCTGTAGCATGACTTTTGAAGGCAGTTAGATTATCAAATTTTATCCAGAACAAAGACTGCCAGTTCTGGCTACAGATCAGAATATTCCGGGTTACTTCTGGAACATTCTAAACACAGGCTCCCCCTCATAACACCATGCTTCAGCTGATCTGGGTGGTCAAGCATAGAGTATTATTTTAGAGCTCTGCCAAGGACTTTTTAATGTACATTCATGTTCTCAATAATTTATAATCCTCTAAATCAATACTTCTCACGGTGTCGTCAAAAACCAACAGTTTAGGACCTAACAAGCCCTCTACGTAATTCTAATTCATGCTCAAATCTGAGAGCTACTGTTCTAGAGAGAAGACATCCTCAAGCAGTGGAGGTAATTTAATTACAAAATGTATTTTTCAAAAGCAAAATTTTTATGTAAGAGTATATCCATCCCATAGCCCCGAGTCGGCTTATAAAAAATATTTATGACCTTACACAATTACGATAAGTACCCTCCTCTGACTTTCTGAGGCATCCAGATATCGGCTGTTCCTTCAGCTTATACAATGTAACTTTCCTGGGGAGAACGGAGAGATATTTTTAAACAAAGTTTCTTACGAAATCAGCTGCTTCTTAACAAAATGTCCATGGTTAAAGCTGAGTCATAGCGGGATGCTGTTCTGGGATTCATTCTTTTCTCCAGCCTTCCCTAAGCGAATCTTAATCAGAGGGTTTCTGGAATGGTGTTTTGCTGAGCTTTGACCTCCAAAAGAACATCACTCAGGGTGAAATGAAGCCCAAGGCCCACAAGGTTTTCCTGCACACGCTTCCTTCCCATTAGACAAGAGGAATGAGACGAGCAAAAAATGTTCGTCAGGCCCAACAAAGTGGATCCCAGCCATGTTCAGTGCCTCCCCTCTGAGTGAAGGCAGGCTAGTGGGAGCATCTTCGGGGGTTTGACACAGGAACTATGAAAGTACCAAAGTGAGAACATGACTAGGTGGGACTCTAGGGTCTTAGGCCTATTGTCCCCAGAGAGCTCAAATTAAGAATTAGGGGGGGGGGGGTTTAAAAAAAAAAGGCAGGCGGGTGGTAGTGGTGCACACCTTTGATCCCAGCACTCAGGAGGCAGAGGCAGGTGGATCTCTGTGAGTTTGAGGCCAGCCTGGTCTACAGAGGGAGTTCCAGGACAGATAGGACTTTACAGAGAAACCCTGTTCATAAGACAAAAACAAAAAAACAATCAGGTAGCCTACCTTGCTGGTACCTTCACCATGAGAACAGCCATAGGAAAATGAAATTTTATCTTAAGATTCAGAGAACAAACTAGACTTGGGTTTTGGACAATGGCTTCATATGTTTTATGCAAGGATATAAATATTCTTTTCTTC